TACACTACCTGCGCTCCGACCGACTGCTAGGTAAGCCTCTACGCTACATGGAAGAGAAAAGCATCCCAGAGATTTAACCCCCAACACCTTCTGGCTGATTCTTGACAGTCTTCATTCTGTCGCCGTTTATATATGACTCTTCCAAATTTAGCTTCCAAAGTCCAAGTTGCTTAACTGAATGTATCAACATTCACTGAACAGCTCAATTTCCAAATTTCTTTGAATTTCTCTTAACAGAACAGTCCAACACGAAAACCAGAATCTCTTTCTTCGGTGCTCTGAGTTATTTGCAGTCCAGAAAGTGAATAGTGTTTGTTTGGAATTCTCATGAAGAAACTCTTTCCTCTTCTGGAATCCAGTTATGTCTCAATGTTTTAAAATTTATCTCCCTACCACTACCTGTACTGCCTGAATTAAAAACCACAAAATTAAGATACTGCCCAATATCACAAGATCTGTTTTGTGGAGTACAGAGGTATTAGCTCTTAAGAGGCATGCAAACTCTTTCTACGTATGTTCAGATGCCATTTATATTTAAAAAGGCATGAGATAGTTTCATCTCACCGATACATTTTGTCACATGAGAACTTAGCCACTTTCACAGATCTGGTGATACGGCTGGGTTTCCAATCTCTATGATCCTGGTATGTTCGGGATGGTAAACCTTTAGAACAATGTACAGTACAGTAAGGCAACTTTTTAAGATTAAAGAATTCAAATTAGAGAAGGTGAAAAACTAGAAAGGTTCCAAACCCCCGCTGGTAAGATTTTCATTTAACAGTACCTGGCTCCAAAGATGGCTCTTCAATTTCCTGCAACAGAAAACATAAATAAGACTGTGCCAGATGGGTGAAAACTGTAGTTTGTTAAAACTAAAAACTATTACAACTAAAAAGGGACTCTTAAAAACATAGCCTTGGAAATTCACAAATCCAACAGGTGGTGAATCCGCTTGTTCAAGCAAAGACCCCACAGCTGGCCTCCACCCCATTCAGGCCCAGCCCTACAGTCCCGATTCCTCTTAAGGGGCTGGGACCTGGCTTCCTGGATCTGCTGTTTCCCCAGTACCTGGGAATGGATCACATTTCATGGTGAAGAACTGATTACCTGCCTGGTCTGTCCCTTTATACTGAACTCTCAAATTCATGGAGAGCAGTGTTTTTACTTTCCTACTTTTAGTGTCTAAGAGAATGCCTGACACAAATTAGATAATCATTCTTTCGCTTAAAGAATCTAGAGTTAACTTTCTGAAAATGCAAAAGACTAACAGAATATGGGCACAGGTGGTTTGACTCCACTTCTTTTTTTCCTTTTTGTCTTTTTTCGTGTCCGGCAACGGATTGCAACCCTCAGTGTCGCGCCTGTACCGGACCGGGACCGGCAACGGGATCGCAACCCTCGGTGCTGCGCCCGCACCTCGCTCAGCCAGTGAGCGGGAACCGGTCTGTATGTGGGATCCGAACCTTTGGGCGGGAGCGCTGCTGCGCTCCCAAGCGGCGCACTGTAGCACTGTGCCACCGGGCCGGCCCTTGACTCCACTTCTTATGTTGCATGGTGGTGCCACCCCTGCCTACCTGGGCATTCCAGCATTATCCAGTATTCTCTCTTCCTCATTCATCTCCTCTTCCAATCAATGTCCCACTGAGCCAGTGGCTAAATACCATTCACGCTATTCCCAGGAAGCCCTGTCAATTCAGGCTATTGCCATTCCTCACCTATGGTGGTGTCTGGTTTTAGTATCTACACTCCAATCTGTCTGCGCCCTGGTACCACAGCAAGCACATGCCCCTCTGTGGCCTCAAGCCTTTAGCCAATGGCTCCCCAGGTTACCTCCTGCCCCAGAGGCCCATCCCTTCCCAGCCCTTACCCCACCAAGTCCTACACATGCCACAATATTTAGTGCTGGGACATCTCCTCTAGAAAGTCTTCCCTAATGGCTCCCTCTCTAACCCAAACGCTAGCTGCTGCCACACCTAGGAAAAGACCTTTCTCCTGAATATGTGGTACCCAGGCTCCAATATTCCCTATGCACAAGGTACATTACTCGGGAATACCAGCCAACACTGATGAGAGCTGACTAGATTCCAGACATAAATGTAAGTGCCTTACATACACATATACTGATCATCAGACAGCCCTAGGATGTTGGTACTATTAATATCATTGTCCTTTTTACAAATTAGGAGACTGATGCTCAGGTGGACGGAGCAACTTGCCCAAGGACACACAGCAGGTAGGAAACAGAGATTGGCTCTAAGCAAGGGCCATGTGATTATGAGTCTGTGCCCCTAAACATCAGTCCAGGCCTCTTCCCAACCCTCTATTTATATGCATACTTCAGGTGGAAAGGACAGGCCCTTCAAGGACAGGGCCCATACTCACTTATCATCTCTGTAACTCTGGTAGCAAACACCCCACCTGACACACCACGGGTGCTTCTCATATACCCAGTGAATGGATATGAATAATTTGTACCATCCAACAGGAAATGCCCTGCCATTTTAGGATGCCCTAGGAAACTGTCTGCTTTCCTCGTGGTTTCATTTACTTATTTTTTTATTTTTTGGGTGGCTGGCCAGTAGGGGTTTCATTTATTTTATTTTATTTTTTCATGTATCCTACCCCATGCTGGGACTCTATGACTAAAGCAAATGATCAATCTTGGCAGAACAATTCTTCTTAACTTTCTCTAGAGGGAAGTGAATATATTCCTATTTGCCTCTGGAAGCGATTATGTATTTTCCATTTTTACATGAGCATCTTCGACCTACAAAGACACTAGAGAAATTGACAAAATCCGGCTCCCCCTTTCCTTTCTGAATCAGGAA